GCTAGGAGTGCATTTGAGTAATTTGTAAACAAGCCAGGCAAAATTGATGAGCTCTGATTGGCTAAAAGAGAATTGTAAACAAATCATCTAATTGGACGAAAACGAAATTCCGCCTTGCTGGGCAGTGTTCTAGCCCTGACCACATCCGTGATTCCTGGATTCACGCTATGTCTGGAATTACTTTGCTTCGAGTTACGCAGGCCTTCCCTTTCCTTAATTTTAAAGTACAAACCAGACTCTTGGACCTGCACTCCACAAACCGAAATATTGAGCCATTCTTACATACAGAGAATGAAAGAAAAATGAAGTTAGTCGTTTACAGTTATTCGATGCCGTTGAGGAACATTGGAATTAAGATAAAGTTGTTATCAGACTGCAAAATCGTTGTTGCGAAGATTGTGTTTGTCAAATTTTACATAACATATAAAATTAAGCAACAGCAAATCGATTACATAATAAAGGAAATTACTTTATTCTTGGCTTATATCGATTTGCATAACTTAGGCCCATAAAGTATTTTTCTTAAAGCTCGATTAATTCATAACTTTTGTGGTTGATGATTTTCTTTGTAACCCAATGCCGCTTTTGCCAATGATGAAAGCATAACCTCTGGTGGTGTTTTCAAGTGGGATTAGAAGACAATATTTCTTCTGAAAAAATGGAAATTTAGAGAAAAGTTTTGTCTCGTTTTAAATAAATCAAGGAAGCAGCTGATCTGATGACAATAAATTTTGCTCGTTGTTGAATCTAATATTGTAAAACAGGTGCAGAAACTTGTTACTTTATTCACGTAGCAACTGAAAAAGTTTTTAGCGCGCTCTCTCTCTTGAGTATAAATAATTACGTATAATCATCATAAATATATATCTTTTTGTTAGAAAACATGTGTCTCTCTGTACACACCCGCCCAAGTCACAACAGCAGGTATTGCACATTTGGTTTTTTTCAAAATGTACCTGCTGATTGCATGATGAAGCATTGCAGAAATAAATTCTGTCCCAAACAGCACAGAACAGCTTTTACAGTTTAAGGCATTCATAAAATGATGAATAAACTTCCGAAATAATAGTTGTCTTACATTATCTGGCGTTTTGTTACAAACTTCCCGGACTCTGACATGAATGTCAACTGCAACAGTGCTTCCACTTTTCGCTCAACCAAATTCCCGAAAAAATCCTTATTTTTGGTAAAAATTCCTTCCAAAATGTATGAAAAATCCTTTCGATTACCTTCTGCCCTATTACTCAATTTTTTATTGCCCTATTACCCACGTTCGCTCTAGAAATGGCGGGTTTCGACGCCACAATGGTAGTTACATCTCTATGGGTAGTTATCAGTTATGCGGAGGATAATTTCTTTGATTTTGATTTTGAGAAAAAATTTGTTCTTAATTTGTTCTTAATTTTTGACCAGTTTTGAGGCTCGTGTTCTTATAAAATCGTTCTTATAAAAAAAAGAGTGTACCTAAAATACAGCCTCGATGTGAAATGGTAAATTACCTGTGACAAATATTTATAAAAAAAGGGTCAACCAAATGCGTCATTCTTTCTCTCACATTACTTTCGATCTAACCTAGGATGAAACTTTTCTGCATACCTTCTTTGGTCATTTTCTTACCTTTTTACTCCAAAGAGTACTATAAAAATAATATAATACTTTAGTATGCTATGCTTCCTATATTTTGTGTAATCTTCAAATATAATATCGTTGCAATATAAAATAGGTTTACACGTAGTTATGATAAAGGTTGATAATGATATTATCAATATAAATGTTTAGACGTATCCTCTTATTTTAAGTAAAGGCTTTTACCATGGATGAATAGATTCATTCATCATAATCATTACTAAGTGTCATCTTTGATCTGAAGGGAGCATTCGATACATGGTCTTAGCAAATATGATTCATTTAGCCATTGTAAATATGAATCATTAAAATAGTGTTGATTGCTGATGGCTCAAATGTGTAACTGCTTTCAAATGGAAATGAATCTCCTGGTATTGTGTTCAAAATACTGGGATATTTCTTTGGAACGTATCAAAATCTTTAGGAATTAATTCTCTATCTATGAGATTCAAAACAAGGCAGCTGTCGTGAGACAATATATTTCTGTCGTCAGTATCTCTTGATTTCAAACAGGTGTTGTAGCTTGCCATATGATTATAATAGTTGTGGAAAGAAATTCTTGACGCAGTTGGAAGACAGTCAAGCTTTGCAAGTCGGTTTGTTAATATTGCGGCTGCTACCAGTCTATTGAGAGACTAGTTTCTGCAAATATTTCTTCTATGCCAAGCTAAGAATGAACTTTAAAGGGAGACAATAAACCAAAGCAAGATCTATAAAACATACCAATCTACAAAATTTCTTCGCTCAATCTTGATCTAGAGCTTCTCTCAGACGACAGACACTAAGATGAATGTTAACTGCAATGATTTTGATGAAAAATTATTTAACAAAGCTTCCTACATTGAAAATATTAAAGTCTGTGCTGGATCCATTCTTGGTCTCGCGATACCGACCACATTGTTGAATCTTGCTCTAATCATCGCAATTCTGTCATCAAACGAATGCAAAGAGCCACGTCAGATGCTTGTACTGAATTTGGCATTTACTGACTTTGCTGCCGGTCTGTATTGCATGCCAGCACTCTCTGTTAAATATTTTTTCATTGCCACACTCAAGAATTCTTGTTCTGTTGTCAAGTATGTATCTGAAGCTGGATTTGTTTTTGCATTCGCTTCTTTGTTTCTAGTTACAGCAATATCGGTAGAAAGATACATACATATCTTCAACCCGTATAATTCTTCTGTGACGTCAAGAGCGACTGCTATTGGTATATTGTGTATTTGGCTGCTATCGATAATTTGGTTAACAGCTTATTGGTGGATTAAGCTTCATTTATTGTGGTTCTGGTGTAGCGCGTTAATTGTCGTTGCTTCTGCTGCTGTAATTGTGTTTTGTTACATCAAGATATTAATTCGTGCCAGAAAAATTCGCAGACAAGTCCAAACAGAGGCAGAACGATATGGGCAGCGGGGTATTACTGGAAAAGAAAGAAATCTACTTCTCGTTGGCGGGTTTATAATTATTTCACTCTTTTCTTGCTATACGTTTCATTTCGTAACTGTAGTTTTGAGATTGGTTGGAACTAAAAGCGGTATTTTGAAATATACGGAATGTTGGGGAATGATGTTATTGCTGTCAAATTTACTTTTCAATCCTATGATATCATGTATTTTTAATAGACCGATAAGACAAAGGGTTTTCAAATTAATGACGTTTGGGTGTTTCCAATCAAATTAGATTATTTGTAGTTTTTTAGAATTGTAGTTAAATACTTTCGGGCGTTTGCACAAGACAGTTTCAATCTAAAACTGGAACACTCTCCAAAGAGAACTCAAATTAGCAGGGAAAGCTGATCCATCCTGATTGTTCCTGTGTAAGCGAAAGACTTATTCATACCAGTTTGGGATCGACACCAGCCTGTATCGATACCGGCTTGTATCGATACCGGCCTTAATCGATACCGGTCTGGATCGATACCGGTCTGGATCGATACCTACCTGGATCGATACCGGCCTGGATCGATACCGGCCTGGATCGATACCGGCCTGGATCGATACCGGCCTGGATCGATACCGGCCTGGATCGATACCGGCCTGGATCGATACCGGCCTGGATCGATACCGGCCTGGATCGATACCGGCCTGGATCGATACCGGCCTGGATCGATACCGGCCTGGATCGATACCGGCCTGGATGAGTCCCTTGTAAACAAGGTCTAATGCTCGTACTTCTGTCGATAAAGTCGTTAGATGTTGTGTTGATGACTGTCTATTTCGAAAGTTTCCTTTTTTATTTCAACTTTCTAACTATCTTGTACGCGCTGCAAACCCTATTGTTTGCTATGAACTGTTGACTGACAGGATAAACTGCCTTTAAATAAGAAGTTGACATTAAAGTTAGACCATGCCTTATGGTCATAGCTTGACTGTTTACATTGATGTAATATAAAACAAAACTAGATTTATTATTATAGATTGTCACAGAAAAGAATGTTCCTTACGTTAAAAATTGAAACCAACATTAACATATGTTCTCAACCCTTCTGAAATATACTCATGCGATATTTAATTATTTTTGTGCTTATTTAACTAGTAATGATAAATACCATTAACATTAAGGGGGTTAGCAACAAATACGCTAAAATTGTGTTTTTACCGAAAAATTAGCAGAAGAGCTCGTATTCTCCCCACACCCTTGCAATTTCCGCCTCTCATACAAAAAATCAGTGCAAGAGAAATCATGAAAATGCTGGTTACTTTTGAAAATGTACCAAAGCACACTGTATTAAAATATGCATTTTACATTCGATTCTTCCATTGCCAGTACCGCTGAAGAGAGCAAGAAAGGTAGAGAGTATAATAAGAAAAGTCGTTTCAAAAAGTTATCTCATCTGCTATAAGTATGAAAATTTCTAAGCAAACATATAAATGTGTCAGCAATTTCTTGCTTATGCAGCATCTGCAAAAATTTTATAGGGCTGCTTGGCAATATAAATCCGAGAGAAGGTATTGTAAATATTATCATAGAAAGAATTTTGTCACTTTTACTTAACCAATACGCAGCCTTTTTTGCCTCTCCCCACTATCTTCATCTAATCTTTACACGTTAGTTCCACTTCAAAGCTCAGAGAAAACGGTAAACTGTTTTATCTAAAATGCACATGTAGACGGGTGCCAGGGCGAAAGCTAACCCGGTTTTCAAAATGTGAAAATATCACCATTGGTCAGGTTTCATTTATGCCTGTTTTCGGGATTTTGCTAAGTCTATCGGGAAATTCTATCTATCTGATTTACTTAAATGCAATCGATATGTATAGAAGTGGCTCAAGCCACTTGTCAATCAAAAGCTTTTACTATTAGCCAATCAATGAGCGTGCGAATGGAATCACGCTCACTGGTTGGTCACTTTTTGTTTGAAAGATGACTTAAGTATTTGTCGATTGCCTTTGAGATTCAGATGAACTCCTGCAATTTCTGTAGATACAATCTTTCTTTGGGTACATCAAAGCAGCTTGCCATTTGAAAAAAAAAGCTTCGAGATGTTCACTGTTCGCAAATGTTTCCAAAAAGATATTCCTAAGCAAATAAAACTAAAATTCCTAAGCAACAGAATTGGGAGATTTGCCAACAAGTAATTATTTGAAGAAGAAAGTTTTCTTCCGGAAAAGCAGCATTACTAGTTTTGTTTTTTTAGAGTTGATTGTCGTACGTGCAACGTGTTAAACCCGGTCTCTATTTTAATGAATTCTTGAGTTAATTCGCAGAGCGTGTCTCTATTTTTCCATTCATAGGGGAGTCATGTTTCGCTAGGAAGTTGAACTCCCTTAAACTCCAAGTGGCGAAGCTAACCAAGAACAGGTGGTCTCGGTCAAAGGGGGTCTGGGGCATAGCCCCCAGAAAAATCGCGTGAAGCCACGCCCTAGAGACCCTCGGTAAAGGGGGAAACGCCCTTCTGGATATGTTGAAATCAAGATTTCAGTGAAAAATTTTTCACTGTCACATTTTGGAAAAAAGGGGATGAAGGTTCGGATCCTTTCAAGTTCCTCCTGCCTTACATTGAAGAAGTCAAAAGAGCATCACAAAAATTCTTTCTAAAATAAGTTAGATTTGAAAATGTTTTCATTGATTGAAAATTTTGAAATCATGGACTAAAAAGAAATTGCTTGTACAGATAGGCATATACAGTTGTAATACATACTGGAAAAATAATTGATTCAAATTTTTTAAAAAAGTAAAAATATTTTGTCACAACATGGATATGTCTGATCAACGGTAGATAGGGTCTTGAACCAATTTGTTTTGAATATCAGAGGAGACCCCTGACATTTTGCCAGTACAATACAATCTGAGTCACCGAGTACAAAAGCTCCCAGTAATTACCATTGTTTTCCTTTTCATCCTTTTCAAAGCGTCCTTTTCATCGGGACCTCTGAATTGTATGGTAGTTCCTGTTTAAGGCAGTAGGACGAGCTGCTGAAATTAAATTTAAGCAAGCCCTTTTTCTGTCATGAACACTCCATCTCCCCTCGATCTCGACTTTCCTGGTACAAAAAAAAGAAGATTCTCTCTCGGCAGCGGCGGCAAACTTTTTCTACTTTATAAAATAGGCCTTTGAATATGACTTTCTTCGCTCTCTGCAGTCTGAGAGAAAACCATATGCATATCAGGTTTCTCGCGATGTCTGTGATATTCCCGACTTTAACAGTAAATAGGAGCAACAGAACGATCCTAAACAATTTGATTTCCATAAGTACCACTCCTCTTGAAACGATCGATTCTTGTATAAATCAATTGACGACAGTGTAGGGCCGAAGCTTCTAGCAGCAAAAACTTCTTCAGCAGCAGAATCATGATGTCTTCGTTACAGTTGGTTTTATCCATGATATCAAAATAGTTAAGCCTGACTATGGCCTGAGTGAAAATTCCCAGATTGTGCAAAACTCTATAATGACGACATGTTTCGGATAATTGGCAGAGCCCGGTCGTCCTTCCATCTAGTATTCTTGGAATCGATGTACATATAGACGAAAAAGCCGCCATTGTGTAGACAGAAGGAGTTTGTTTTCTCTCTTGAACTTAAGTGGTAATTTTTATATAGGCACGCAGCACTGATTGGTCAACTATACCGGTCTTGTGCTTGCGTTTTTCTGATTGTGTTTCCTATTTCGATTCACAACTGGGTATATTATTTTCATCGTGTTCTTTCCGACCCTTATTCTGACGTTTTATGCTCTGAGGAGTGTCAGACGAAAAAGCTTTTAGCCAATATGTTGTAAAATATTTGCTTTTTTAAAACCATTTCCTAATTGTAACTAAAATGACGTTATCGCAAGAAACTTTAAAGATTGAATTACTCTTAAAGAGAAAATGTGCAATCATTTTGTTAAAAGTTTTCTTCATTGCTGTTTCATGAAATAAAAAATTTAAATCCTTTGCTTTATTGGCGAAAACGTTTATAAATAACTATATATTACTTGGATTTGAAACCATTAGATAAATAATTAGAAACGTCAAAACATAGATTTAAAACTCTAAACTAAGAAATCTTTATATATAAGCAATTTGATTTATGGTATATGTATACGGTCTATGTTCTGACGTTATACACTCTTAAGAGTATCAGACGAAAATCTTAACTTTGTTTCAAAATCGTTGTCTTTCCAGGCCATGGCTATTTTTTTATTACAAAAAAAGTTTTCATAATTTCATTCTGAGTATAATTTCAGTTTTCGCTTTTAGTGAAAATTTCATACAATATAAATAAAGCTGATTTCGAAGAAGCTTTTCCAGAATGGTTTTCTGCTTTTGGTGATAAGATTATGCTTTGTTCATTCAAAAGCCACTTACCAATGCTGAACATTGCCAAAAATAGCCTAACAACTACGTCCTAGGTATTTTTTTAAATTCTCCTTTGAAGACAATATATTTTGTTAAAAGGAACCAGACTAGTACGCATTTAACTTTCAAGCAAAGTTGATGTTTCCTCTTAACTTTGAAAATAAAGTTTTTTCCATCCATCGATTCAATGTTCAATGTATGTTTGTTCAATTTATGTATGTTCAATGTATGTTCAATGTCCAATATTTTTAAACCATTAAGTTTAAGTTGAGCTTAATAAAGGAAATTGCTTTATTCTTGGCTTATATCGATTTGTATAACTTAGGCCCATAAAGTATTTTTCTTAAAGCTCGATTAATTCATAACTTTTGTGGTTGATGATTTTCTTTGTAACACAATGCCGCTTTTGCCAATGATGAAAGCACAACCTCTGTTGGTGTTTTCAAGTGGGATTAGAAGACAATATTTCTTCTGAAAAAATGGAAATTTAGAGAAAAGTTTTGTCTCGTTTTAAATAAATCAAGGAAGCAGCTGATCTGATGACAATAAATTTTGCTCGTTGTTGAATCCAATATTGTAAAACAGGTGCTGAAACTTGCAACTTTATTCACGTAGCAACTGAAAAAGTTTTTAGCGCGTTCTCTCTCTTGAGTATAAATAATTACGTATAATCATCATAAATATATATCTTCTTGTTAGAAAACATGTGTCTCTCTGTACACACCCGCCCAAGTCACAACAGCAGGTATTGCACATTTGGTTTTTTCAAAATGTACCTGCTGATTGCATGATGAAGCATTGCAGAAATAAATTCTGTCCCAAACAGCACAGAACAGCTTTGACAGTTTAAGGCATTCATAAAATGATGAATAAACTTCCGAAATAATGCTGTCTTACATTATCTGGCGTTTTGTTACAAACTTCCCGGACTCTGACATGAATGTCAACTGCAATGATATTAATGTCAAATTACTTAACACAGCTTGGTGCATAGAAAACATTTACGCTTGTGTCGGATTCAGTCTTGTTCTCGCGATACCCACTATATTGCTTAATGATGCTCTTATCATAGCAATTCTGTCGTCAAGCGAGTGCAAACAGCCATGACAGATGCTTGTGCTGAATTTGCTGACTTTGCTGCTGGGCTGTATTGCATGCCAGCACTCTTTGTTAGATATTTTTTCATTGCCACACTCAAGAATTCTTGTTCTTTTGTCAAATATGTATTTGAAGCTGGATTTGTTTTTGTATTCGCTTCTTTGTTTTTAGTTACAGCTTTATCTGTAAAAAGATTCATACATATCGTCAACCCCTATAACACCAGTTTGACGTCAAAAGGAGTGGCTGTTGGTATACTATGATTTGGGTTTCGTCGATATTTTGGTTCACAGCTTTTTGGTAGATAAAACAGCTATCTGTGTGGTGCTTCTGCTCTTTATTAATCATCATTGGTTCTTCTGCTGTTATTGTGTTCTGTTACATCAAGATAATAGTTCGTGCCAGAAAAATTCGCAGACAAGTCCAAACAGAAGCAGATTGATATGAGCAGCGGGGTATTACTGGAAAAGAAAGAAATCTACTTCTCATTGGCGGGTTCATAATTATTTCGTTTTTTGCTTGCTATGCGTTTCATTTCGTAACTGCCGTTTCGAAATTGGTTGGAATTGAGAGCGGTATTTTCAATCATAAGGAATGTTTGGGAATGATGATATTCACGCATTACAACTCTGAATGCTATAACAACTGCGAGCTAGTTAGGTATAGCTCTAAATGCCAAGTTATTTACTAAGCAGCAACAAATTATGGAATATGAAAGCACATGACGTAAATATACTACACTATTTTTTTTAAAAGAACCAGTAAATTTAAGTTCAAGCTGACTGTTCTTAATTTTTTCGAAAATCTGAAGCTGGATTGTTCTTAATTTGTTCTTAAATTAAGAGGGTGTAAGCAGTGCAATTGCTAGCTTTTTCGCTCTAAGGAGGTGTTCAGGCCTCATTTGCCAACAAAGTGAGTGAGACAGCCTTGATTTGCTGACAAATTTGAATATTCACCGAAAAAGCACCCATACATCGCTGATTTTGAGAAAAAACGTTGTTCAAATCTGCATTTTGCAGATACTCAGCCTCAGCTTGTTCTTAATTTGTTCTTAATTTTTGACCAGTTTTGAGGCTCGTGTTCTTATAAAATTGTTCTTATAAAAAAAGAGCCTACCTAAAATACATCCTCGATGTGAAATTTTAATTTACCTGTGACAAATGTTTATGAAATAAGGGTCAACCAAATGCGTCATTCTTTCTCTCACATTACTTTCGATCTAACCTAGGATGAAACTTTTCTGCATACCTTCTTTGGTCATTTTCTTACCTTTTTACTCTAAAGAGCACTATAAAAATAATATAATACTTTAGTATGCTATGCTTCCTATATTTTGTGTAATCTTCAAATATAATATCGTTGCAATATAAAATAGGTTTACACGTAGTTATGATAAAGGTTGATAATGATATTATCAATATAAATGTTTAGACGTATCCTCTTATATTAAGTAAAGGTTTTTACCATGGATGAAGAGATGCATTCATCATAATCATTACTAAGTGTCATCTTTGATCTGAAGGTAGCATTCGATACATGGTCTTAGCAAATATGATTCATTTAGCCATAGTAAATATGAATCATTAAAATAGTGTTTGATTGCTGATGGATCAAATGTGTAACTGCTTTCAAATGGAAATGAATCTCCTGGTATTGTGTTCAAAATACTGGGATATTTCTTTGGAACGTATCAAAATCTTTAGGAATTAATTCTCTTTCAATTTATGAGATTCAAAACAAGGCAGCTGTCGTGAGGCGATATATTTCTGTCGTCAGTATCTCTTGTTTTCAAACAGGTGTTGCAGCTTGCCATATGATTATAATAGTTGTGGAATAAAATTCTTGACGCAGTTGGAAGACAGTCAAGCTTTGCAAGTCGGTTTGTTAATATTGCGGCTGCTACCAGTCTATTGAGAGACTAGTTTCTGCAGATATTTCTTCTATGCCAAGCTAAGAATGAACTTTAAAGGGAGACAATAAACCAAAACAAGGTCTGTAAAACATACCAATCTACAGAATTTCTTCCCTCAATCTTGATCTAGAGCTTCTCTCAGACGACAGACACTAAGATGAATGTTACCTGCAATGATTTTGATGAAAAATTATTTAACAAAGCTTCCTACATTGAACATATTAAATTCTGTGCTGGATCCATTCTTGGTCTCGCAATACCGACCACATTGTTGAATCTTGCTCTAATCATCGCAATTGTGTCATCAAACGAACGCAAAGAGCCATGTCAGATGCTTGTGCTGAATTTGGCATTCACTGACTTTGCTGCTGGGCTGTATTGCATGCCAGCACTCTTTGTTAGATATTTTTTCATTGCCACACTCAATAATTCTTGTTCTGTTGTCAAGTATGTATCTGAAGCTGGATTTGTTTTTGCATTCGCTTCTTTGTTTTTAGTTACAGCAATATCGGTAGAAAGATACATACATATCTTCAACCCGTATAATTCTTCTGTGACGTCAAGAGCGACTGCTATTGGTATATTGTGTATTTGGCTGCTATCGATAATTTGGTTAACAGCTTATTGGTGGATTAAGCTTCATTTCTTGTGGCGCTGGTGTAACGCGTTAATTGTCGTTGCTTCTGTTGCTGTAATTGCGTTTTGTTACATCTAGATATTAGTTCGTGCCAGAAAAATTCGCAGACAAGTCCAAACAGAGGCAGAACGATATGGGCAGCGGGGTATTACTGGAAAAGAAAGAAATCTACTTCTCGTTGGCGGGTTCATAATTATTTCACTCTTTTCTTGTTATACGTTTCATTTCGTAACTGTAGATTTGAGATTGGTTGGAACTAAAAGCGGTATTTTGAAATATACTGAATGTTGGGGAATGATGTTATTGCTGTCAAATTCACTTTTCAATCCTATGATATCATGTATTTTTAATAGACCGATAAGACAAAGGGTTTTCAAATTAATGACGTTTGGGTTTTTCCAATCAAATTAGATTCTTTGTAGTTTTCTAGAACTGTAGTTAAATACTTTCAGGCGTTTGCACAAGACAGGTTCAATCTAAAACAGGAACACTCTCCAAAGGGAACTCAAATTAGCAGGGAAAGCTGATCGATCCTGATTGTTCCTGTGTAAGCGAAAGACTTATTCATACCAGTTTGGGATCGACAACAGCCTGTATCGATACCGGCCTGTATCGATACCGGCCTGTATCGATACCGGCCTGTATCGATACCGGCCTTAATCGATACCGGCCTGGATCGATACCGGCTTGGAAGAATCCCTTGTAAACAAGGTCTAATGTTCGTATTTCTGTCGATGAAGTCGTTAGATGTTGTGTTGATGACTGTCTATTTCGAAAGTTTCCTTTTTTATTTCAACTTTCTAACTATCTTGTACGCGCTGCAAACCCTATTGTTTGCTCTGAACTGTTGACTGACAGGATAAACTGCCTTTAAATAAGAAGTTGACATTAAAGTTAGACCATGCCTTATGGTCATAGCTTGACTGTTTACATTAATGTCATATAAAACAAAACCAGATTTATTATTATAGATTGTCACAGAAAAGAATGTTCCTTACGTTAAAAATTGAAACCAACATTAACATATGTTCTCAACCCTTCTGAAATATACTCATGCGATATTTAATTATTTTTGTGCTTATTTAACTAGTAATGATAAATACCATTAACATTAAGGGGGTTAGCAACAAATACGCTAAAATTGTGTTTTTACCGAAAAATTAGCAGAAGAGCTCGTTTTCTCCCCACACCCTTGCAATTTCTGCCTCTCATACAAAAAATCAGTGCAAGAGAAATAATGAAAATGCTAGTTACTTTTGAAAATGTACCAAAGCGAACTGTATTAAAATGTGCACTTTGCAATCGATTCTTCCATTGCCGGTACCGCAGAAGAGAGCAAGAAAGGTAGAGAGTATATTAAGAAAGTATGCTCGACATATATTCTCGACTATAGTCGTTTCAAAAAATTATCTCATCTGCAACTATGAAAATTTCTAAGCAAACATATAAATGTGTCAGCAATTTCTTGCTTATGCAGCATCTGCAAAAATTTTATAGGGCTGCTTGGCAATATAAATCCGAGAGAAGGTATTGTAAATATTATCATAAAAAGAATTTTGTCACTTTTACTTAACCAATACGCAGCCTTTTTTGCCTCTCCCCACTATCTTCTTCTAATCTTTACACGTTAGTTCCACTTCAAAGCTCAGAGAAAACGGTAAACTGTTTTATCTAAAATGCACATGTAGACGGGTGCCAGGGCGAATGCTAACCCGGTTTTCAAAATGTGAAAAGATCACCATTGGTCAGGTTTCATTTATGCCTGTTTTCGGGATTTTGCTAAGTCTATCGGGAAATTCTAGCTATCTGATTTACTTAAATGCAATCGATATGTATAGAAGTGGCTCAAGCCACTTGTCAATCGAAAGCTTTTACTATTAGCCAATCAATGAGCGTGCGAATGGAATCACGCTCACTGGTTGGTCACTTTTTGTTTGAAAGATGGCTTAAGTATTTGTCGATTGCCTTTGAGATTCAGATGAACTCCTGCAATTTCTGTAGATACAATCGTTATTTGGGTATATCAAAGCAGCTTGCCACTTGAAAATAAAAGCTTCGAGATGTTCACTGTTCGCAAATGTTTCCAAAAAGATATTCCTAAGCAAATAAAACTAAAATTCCTAAGCAACAGAATTGGGAGATTTGCCAACAAGTAATTATTTGAAGAAGAAAGTTTTCTTCCGGAAAAGCAGCATTACTAGTTTTGTTTTTTTAGAGTTGATTGTTGTACGTGCAACGTGTTAAGCCCGGCCTCTATTTTAATGAATTCTTGAGTTAATTCGCAGAGCGTGTCTCTATTTTTCCATTCATAGGGGAGTCATGTTTCGCTAGGAAGATGAACTCCCTTAAACTCCCACATTTCGCTAGCGAATTCGCTGCCTATACCCGAAAAGAACGAAAGACATTCCAATCGCTGACGAATTGGGTCATGCAAACTGCTCCGTTGATTGTTCGCACAATGCCTTTTGGGGGTATTGGTGAATTTTTCCGTTTTCAGTGCTTCAAGGATCAGCCCTTTTTTGTGTTTTTGTCTCAAGAGAGTTTCGTGATGTATACATATAGTGTTTTGTTTCACGAATGAGAGGTTGGCGGGTGCAGTAATTTGAGCGGGGAAGGTTTTGAACGTGGATCAGGGAAGGTTTAGAGTGGTAAAGTATCAAGTTGAAGAGCAGAGAAAAAGATCAATACAAAAATTATGCATGGACGCCAAACTCTCTTCAAACAAGGACAAAGAGCTCGTAAGAATTAGTTTAGAGTTATTTTGAATTCTTTTGTTATTGTTTACATCGCTAATTAAGTGTTTGACTAGGCAATGCCTTGTGTTCCTTGAATTTATAAATATTTTTTGTTTAGTTATCTTATCGCTCCAGTATCTATTAGCATCTATTGATTTGTATTTTTTATTTTAGAAAACCGTAAAAAATCTACCGAAAAGACCAGTGTTTATTTATGTTGTAATTTCTAGCTTTGCAGCACAAGCTTTGTACGCGTTGAAACTGCTTCTTGTAGCTGAGAGCTACAGTCACTGCCTCGTTGCTCCGGCATCATTTCAAAAGCGGAAGATTTGGAATCATTTGGCAATTCGGCATCATTTCGATAATGAAAAAAGTTAGCATAGTTTTATACATCCATACATTCAAAAACTTTTAGATCATGGGCATCAACATTTGTTACGAAGACTCCTATAAACTGTCCTCACAACAGGGGCATGGTGACCCACCGGGAATCGGTAGACCCGGTAAAACTTTTCATGTGGGCCCCTTGAATTTTTCTTCCTTTCAAGCTTTTATTTTTCATAACATCAGATTTGTGAGAAAAAGCAAGTGAATAATCAAAATGGTCTTTCTTGTCTTTCTTTTAAACTCTTTCTGTTTATCTATATGTGCTGAAGAACTTGAAGTCAATTTTTTTCACTGGTTTTACTTCCTTTGATATTTAGATGTCACTTTATATGATTTATTTACACTTCTTTCCATAGTAGCTATGTTGATTACTTAGAATCATCCAGTTGATTTGACAACCAGAATGAGAAAAAGAAAATTTTCTGAAACACATAGCTGGTTGTCTTTCAGATATTTTTCGTAAGCTATATTTTTCATTTATAATTCAATCATCTGATCTTAAGGTCGATTTCACATCTTTAACAGCGATGCGGGAAAAGTTACGGATCATTTTTTTAATGATTATTTAATCACGAGATCCATTCAGTATCAATTATACAAATCCTAATTACAAATGAAAGTTAATTAATACAGTTGATAATTTAAATAAACAGATATAAAAACCAGTACTGTTCTTCCATGGATTCATGCGGAAATATTTCGTGCCAAAATCATGAATTTCTCTATTAAATAGCAATTACAGGATTTTAAAAAGATGATTACTTTTAAGATCTTAACCTATCAAAATTTATCCTAACACAACTTTTCTGATATCCTGGTCCACAATCCAGAAGGTTTCAAGGCCATCGTTCAAACAACTTTTATAAAAAGATGCTTTGAAACATCTGAAAAGGCTAGTAAATCTGTGGGGAGGAAATAAAACCTATTTGCTTCGTTACGAGAGTTTCCGTCCGCCATGACCCGTCTGAGTTGAACTAGAGCAAACGGCATCAAAAGTGGACAGCAAGTGGTTCGCCAGTCTCATTTCTCTCAGTGATTGAATACTACAAGTAATTGCTGCATTGCACAACTAAAGTCAGCAAAAAACTAGACTGAATAAGCTATAGCCCGTCAAATTTAGACACAGACAAAAATACTTTGCTGTCACACATTTCTTAATGTATCTATCTGCCACAATAAAAATTTTAGCAGTAAAGATTTGTGAGATATGTAAAGGTTTTTTATCAGTGCTATTATCAAACTCCTTAGTTTTTTAGTCATTTAGTTTTACAAGCCAGCACTATATAAATATAACCGTAAAAAATTTCAGTAATCCAAAAAGCAGCTCCTCAATTGGCTTCAAGAGGAAGGGTAAGTTCAGCAGGACGTATTTTAAAAATTTGTCAATCTGAAGTTTCAAAGCTTTAATTGCAATGAAAAAATAATGTTTCGATTGGACAAATGTGCATGGGCGAAGCACTCCAAGCCTAAATCTTCATGACATATTTGGTTGGTCTGATACAAACTCAGGCGAGTCATACCTTGAAAGTCAAGCCGTCACCCTCTTTCTGTATAGATGCAAATATGTTTGATTTCCCCCGAAGAAGATTTTTCTAGACTTTTTACATATTCTTAGAATATTGAAATTAGGATCTTGCTGAAGAACACAGGCTGTAGCTAAACTCTCGGAGCATAACATACAGAAAGAAAATGTAAGCTAGTCGAATGACCAACGTCTTACTTATTCTTTAAGTTAGGAAAAACTTTCTGTGACTACGAGCTAAAACCAAATTTTCTATTCAAAAAGGAGACTGAAAATACTGTAGCCATTTTTCTGAAACGTTTCTTTTTGAACATGCTACTGAAAAGCATAAAATCCATATCATTTTAAAAAACACCAATTTTTTTGCTAAAATCACTAATATATTCAACACCTTAACTTTGATACACAATATTTTATTTATATAAAACTTGGATCAGCAATAAGTACTTAAATTTTCTTAATTTGGCTTTAAATTTTTGTGAATGTTAGTACTAAAAGTTTCTTTGTCGGTTTCTTATTTTCGAGCAGTGGCGTAGCGTGACTTTTTCAACTGGGTATTCTCTATTAAACAAAAGGGTGGGGCAGGGTGTGGCTCGATGGGGCTTGATGAAAATAGAGGGATAATAGGAAGATTAAAAGGACTAGCTTTTGACATTTAATCTATTACTTTAACACTTTTCTTTTTGGTTCGGTTGGCAAGTACTGCACTGTCAGGGCATTACTATGATGAAAACGATACTTTGCTAAAAGGACCCAACGCAAATATACTCTTTGAACTCATTCATTGCATCAAAATTCCATTTCATCAAAAGTAATTCAAATCAAAACGTATCATTGAAAATCAGTAAAATTTTGCTGGTCGAAATATGTCCCAATAGTTGTTGTTGAATCCTCTAAAATTTGCACTGATGTAAAGAGGAAGTAACTGTAAACACCTAATCTTGATACCTTAATACAAAAGGGCTTTCAAAAGTTTCAAAATTATTCACATAGGGCATTACACGAGTTATAAATAGCTTGTGGTATGCAGTCTAGACTTTTTCTTCATGGCCTAATCGTGATATTTTCAATACAAGTTAATGTTTGAAAGAATCAAAGGTAATGAGATGAGACTGCACGATAATGCAAATAAATGCGCTCGAATAATGCAAACAAAATAGGCCAACAAGATAACTGAATACACCAGGCAACTATAAGGATATTATCCAGGCCTATCTGCATTTACTTTAATTCCGTCTCATAACACAATTAGAAGCATCCCTGATTGACAAGCAATAACAAAATTGACATTTCAAGAGGGCACAGATCTGAGTCAGTGTAGTTTTATGCAGAAGCCTACCTTACCTTTCCACTTTGCTGTTGGTAGATTAGGATTAGGGGTCAAATGAGAGAATGATTATGAAACAGTAATACGGACATTGCAATAGTTTTTTAATTAAGTCATGTTTACAGTTTTCGATGCAGCTCCATCACTCCAACCGCTCCGCTCCGACGTCCATTAACTGTTTATATCGATCTCATAACGAGACTATTTTGAACCAACTTTGAGGCTGTACGCTGCATATTTCTCAGCGTACAGAACCATTGTTTTAGCTGATTAACGGCAAATATTATTCATGGAAAGGAGCATTTTGATTGGTTAAAGTACCGTCTAGGGTATTCACTGCGTATTCATGACCGATCTCCATTCAACATGAAGTAGCTCAATCTTCAAAAATCTCCCAGCCTCTCTATGCGTCGCAGTGTTGTTTCCATGAATTTCGTGATATTTTGTACTTGTACAAAATGTAGAATATCGAAGGTAATGAATTCAACCAGAATCAATTGCCCCAAAACATTTTTTAGTTATTACAAATATACGTCGTATCAATATTTTTTCTGAGAAATCTCAGGGTATTCACTGAATACCTTGAATACCCGGACGCTACGCCACTGTTTTCGAGCCCTAAAGTTAACTTATTGCTTTGAAGCTGAGCATACGAAAAAACCAACGCAGATCAAAATCCAAAGTATGTTATCTTTTCAAAAGAAAAATCAAAAAAATAATTTTTTTTTAAAAACCTCGATTGTTTGTTACAAAAAAAACGTTTGTTACAACGATCTATAATAAAATCATTTCTACACAGTCGATATAAGTTACAAAGTCTCTAAGTGGAACTCTGTACTCATCAGTGTCTCTTTAAAAAATGGAAATTTTATTGTTCCATAATTTTTCTTGATCCTAGTACTACAGGTTCTTAAATTGTCGGCCATCCTAATGCTAGTTTTTTTATAAACCGGTTTCTTATAAATAAATGAAAAACGTGTATGCAATCGTTACTTTAGTTAGTTAGCGATTGCATGCGCTCTGGATAACAGTCGAAGTCAAAATCACTCTTGAATTTTCACTTGCATTCTGTGCTCCATTCTTCTACACTCTGGATTGCTATTTTGGTATCCACCATTCTGGAATAATATATTCAGTTCTTTCTAATTCCAAAAATAATCAAGAATATTACTATTATACAGTTAAATGGAACTTTGGGTACCTTAACTTTGTTTATATCCACAAGTTAGTATTCTGAGTACATCTCTTCGTATCAAAGAGTTGAATATGCAGGATATCAACGGATTGAAGAGTGAATTTGCCATTGCAAAAGTCCATGCCCAGCAGATGGTATAATGAAAGACGTCACTTTCGTATTCAATCAGTTCTAGTATGGATGTTGCGAAATAAAAAGAGTAGCAAACGAAGAATGAAATGATTATGAAGCCACCAATTAGTAGAAGATTTCTCTCCTTTTGAGTAACATGCTGCTGCCCAAATCTCGCTGCTTCTGTCTGTATCTGTCGACGGACTCCCCAAGAACGTAGAAATATCTTTGTATAGCAATAAACGATGATTACGGACGTGTATATTAAGACAATAGCCTTAATCATATTAATTAGTTTGGCATCTTTAATTAATCGATAGGAAGTCACTAGAGCTATTGAATAGAGCCATTCACAACATACGATAAAATAAGTTAGTTTTGGTGTAAATCTTGTGCTATGCATGAAGGGTTTGAAGACGTATATATATCTTTCGATTGCTATTGCTACTATTGCCTGTAAAGACACGTGTCCAAGTATACTCCCCAAGATCAGACTTATATACGTAATATTGCAAGAGTCTATTTGAAGAGCAACATAGAGGAATCTGAAAAAAATTGTCGGCATGCCAAATATACCTGCACTAAAGTCGGTAAGTGCCAAATTTAGCACCATTATCTGACATGGCTGCTTTTTGTCGTTTGACTTGAGAATTGCGATGATAAGTGCAAAGTTCAGCAAAGAGGTTGGTATTGCCAGGACAATGTTAAAAATTGCACAGGTGTAATTGCTTGCTTTGAGAGATGTTATATTTTGTACTGCCAAACTGCAACCACAGCAATAGGAAACCATTTTAGGAAACGATGCTTTTACGCATTAGCTTAGTCCTTCTAATGAGAGAATCTTTGCATTTGTTGGGGTTTTGAAGACGCTTTACAAATGGATTGTTTGTTGAGCGGCAACGCGAGGGCAAAGAATTTTACTAACTCAGTGTTGCTAAAGCAAGTAAACCTTCAACGCGTTTCACTCTTTTTACTAAATGTATTTAAAGTGGCTTTGAAATGCAAATAAAATGAAGGTCTTTAGAGTTTTTTATAATGGAAGCAGTTTAAATAAAGAATTCATATCAGGACATGATGAATTAAGAAGCATTAAGCACCTGTAGAAGCAACCAGGCACATCATTACTAATTTAAAAGATTGTTGGTTAAAAGGCAAATGTTGTGTAATTGTTATGAGTTAAAGTTGTCCTTGTAAATATTTCATACTCTTCTTTTATTTTGATATATGCACAAATTGCGGGTTAAAATTAATTCCTGATGAAAAAAAGAAAATGTCCCTAATTGAAGAATTATTTATGTGTGCTATTTTTGTGCAGTTCAAAATCGTGAAAGGATATAATTATTTACAGTTTTGAAATTTGATGCAAGCGAAAAATATTTTGCTGTCCTTTACCTTGTCAGTAATAATAGTTCTATTTTAAGCAAAAATCTCTTGTAGTAGAATGGAATCGTCGAAATGGGTACTCTAAGGTCCTTAATAGAAGGGGGGACGCTTATTAATTATTCGATTTCTTTCTGACCCCACAGGAGCTTATTTGGACCCCCTGCCTATTAATTTTTAGATGCAATCATTCATTTCCCTTTTTTCATTTGTCCTTTGTTCAGGTGTGAAATTTCTGTAAAGTTTCTCTTAAATGAAGAGGTTGCATTGTACAAAAGCTTTAACATAGAAAAGTAGTATAACATCCGAAAAAAATTACAAGGCCTGGCTGATGTACACAATGATAATTAGCCTACTCAATTTCCCAACTGTCAAGACCCCCATTTCTATTAAGGACCTTAGAGTACTTTAAAAGGGATCTTGTTATCTTAATCTGGTTTCTTTATCAAGACCTTTTGAATAAATTCTTTCTCACTGCCCCCAATAACATTTTTTTAGCAGTCAATGTAAAATTCAATGTTTGCCAGCTGCTAGGAACTTCTTCAAGAAAGAGGAAGTTGGCTCTATCCATTTCATCTTTTCAAGGCATTAAACATATTGCTGGAAGGAAAAGTATGTGCGAAAAGACCAAAGGGACGTCCCCGTAAATCGTGGATGAAGAACATCATGGAATGGACAAAGTTAAACTTTGAGCAGTGCATAAGAGGAGCTGAAGATCGTGACTACTGGAGAGGAGTAACGACGAAACTTCTTAATTGAAACAGACTCCGAATGATGATGAAACATATCTGGTTTACTGATATAAACATAAAGCTACTACAGTAGCTAATTCTGTTCACGAAGCATATCTGCTCCATGAGTTAATGATACCAAACTATAATTGCTATGAAAAGGTCCTCTATTGTTGCGAAAATAAAAAGAAACTTGCCGCTGATTTTTCTGCACTTTTTATAAGGTATCATTAGATTTTTCCAGTCAGCAAAGTGGTTGTTGACAGAACAATTGTTATTGCATTAGGGTTGAAAGTTTAGAAAACAGGCAAAGATTTTAGGAAAAAACATTTCCATTGCTGATGTAAATAAAACAAATCACGTTACTGATAGGAAGGTAAACAGAAAATGTTTGAAACCTTCCCTTGATGATTACATCGATAACATTAAAGAGCCTAACATCATTCGTAATTTGAATTTTGAAGCTAGTAGCTACGATGATGTATGTGTAAAAGCCCCTTCGCATTCACGAATTCTGGTTGAGTTAATTGTTTATTTGTAGATACCAATGTAATATCTCTATTATTGCATGGCATTTCATTAACTTTTAACTGAAATAGAACGATTGCTATTTGAAGAAATAAAAATCTGCTTACTCTGACTTTGTCTCAAATTATCTTTACCAGGAGAAGGAGCATTGGCACCGGAAACCATGGGCGAGATAACCATTAGCAGTACAGTTTAGCATCGGCATAAGAAAGTTTCTCTAATACACAGATGAGTCAGTGATTAGACAAGGTGATTTGCAATTATCTACCTTGGAAATAAGTTACTTTCGTTTAAATGAGCATTTTCTTCATTTAACACTAGAATTTTTTTTGTTCACCAATGGGATTTAAGAAGTTTCTTTTCTTTTCGTCATTGAGAGTGCCTTTATCAAAATTTTTCCTGCAGTATTGCGCTAGGGCGGCTTTTTTGTCTTTTAGCTTTTTAAGGCTATATGAAAAAACTCAGTTTTCAGCAGCATATTTCGCAATTTTGCACAACATTTATGAACTTAGGCAAATGAGCAAATGAGTAAAAAGTTGAAAAAGCAAACGAGTAAACTAAAAAATTACATAATTTTATATAAAAATGATAAAGCAATAAACAAAGGCAAATAGAGATAAATCAAGATACATAAGATTTTTAAGGGAAACCCTTTAGGCTGTGGAGCCACGCTTTTTCAATTTTTTGGAAAGAAGTTAATATGGAGCGGGCACTTGGCTCTCCTAAAGAAAGTATGCAATCAATCATGTTTTTTTCTTGAATTTGCTTTCCATTACTCAGATTAGCAGCTTCAGGGAAAAATTTTATTGCGTGACTGATTATTTCTGACAAAACAAATTTCCATTTTTTTCTGGATAAAAAATCTTTTCATCATGAATTGTCTCTTGAAGAGAGAGTTTCAACTTTTAGTATACTGTTATGTTAAGGTTGATTCAAACGCCTAGAAGTGTCATTCAAGCAATTAGCCGCATGATCATGCCCAAATTGCAGAGTATTTCCTGAGTAAGGCAACCAAAGAGCTTTTTTATTGATGATCTGGCCAAACTTAGCTGATGTAGAACAAAATCGATAGGAGAGATTTTAGAAGACCAATTATCACACTCCACAGCATGCAAAGTATGTGATACTAGCCTTGTATTTGTAATGCTGGCCCTAGCTGGGTTTTGGTGCCATGTCAGTATGTGTTAATTTATAACTTTGATTTGCTGTCCTGTAACTATGTTGTCTAGCTGTGTCTGTACAGTTTGTGTATGCTATGTTCATTGATGAAACCAAAATTACATGTTATATCCAACTTTTATGTAAATTGTATTCTGTCGGTAATTGAGTTTGATGCACATCAGAGCTACACGATAACTTGCAGTATTTCTTGGCCTAAGTCTTCGGAACCCGAACACGCCACATATTACTACGTCTTTGGACGGGCTTCGCTTTTTTTTTAGATTGATAGTCTTGTCCAATCTCGTCGAAAATCATGAGAAGCAGTATATAACCAGTTATCATTTTATGCATATCTATGCATATCATTCGATTCTTTCACGATAATAATGAGGGAAAGCCAACTAATCTGTAGGAGTTTTATATATTCTAAGCATAAAATGACATCTGCTTCCAAAGAATATCAATTTGATTTCAACTTGGTTTCAAGCCTATTCCAATTAATTGGTATTAAAAAAGTAATAAAAAACCATATTTCTTAAAACATACGACCCAGATTCATATGATCTTGAATTTGTGCTATCTTGAACGAAGAAATCTTTATCTCTGCGGTCCTTGACCCTGCGATCTTTAACCTTGCGACCTTTAACCCTGAGATCTTTAACTCTGCGACCTTTAACAATGCGATCTCTAACCCTGCGATTTTTAACCCTATGATACTGTATTGAGAAACTACAAGAAATCAGTAAAACTATCTAGTTTCTTGGAGCATGATAAACCAGCATCACTTTGTCACCCGACAAGATCAGCCATGCTTGATACGAGAAAACAACGAGAAAACAACGAGAAAACAACGAGAAAACAACGAGAAAACAACGAGAAAACAACAAAAACACAGTTTAATTACAGCAACAACAAGTTAAGAATTATTGAAAGGCTTACTTGCTTCAAGTTTAAAACAAAAATGGTAAAATAAGTCTGTTTTTCTGTCAAGCAGTATGTCGAATAAGAAAAGTTCGCCAATCAGAACTTTTCATATGGTTTTGATGACGCAACTTATATCATTCAAATTTTCTTGTGATGCTTCGGGGGCTGACCTGAATATGACATGGCCATTTTGATTTCTTTTCTTACAGCAGCAGCAATAACAACAACAAGCAATGTAAGAAAAAATACTGACCAATACCAAGCAAAACCCACCGTAGGCTGCGGCTTTTATACCTGTCGATTGGTCGTTTAACCAAGCAAAGAATCCTAAAAAGCAATCGGCGAGGAAAAGGTAAAAACATATAAAACGGATAAAACGGAGAAGATTGCATGAAAACGGGTGAAGAAGTCAAAAGAAAAATCCCTTTCAGAAATAAATAAAATAATAAAAGAAAATAAAAAAATAAATAAACACAGTGAACATAGGTAATAGAAAGCTAAAATTGAATACTCAGCAAGAATTTGTACCTACCGCACTTCATACTTTTCCTCAACAGTCCCAGATCTTTATCTATAATTGTAAATGTTTTCAAAACTCTACCGAACAATTTCAAGGCTATAGAGACCTAAAAAGAAAACAAAAATGAGAACGATGAAGCAAAAAAGAAAACCCAGTTATCAGAAGGCAAACGTTTACTGCATAAAATAATTAATGAGCAGCTGTCATTAGCATTGGTGGTGTCAGGGATGGTATGGGTGGTTGGGGGTAAAGCATCCCTCCCCCAATTTTGTCAAAGTATAACCTCATTAATTCTTCTAAAAAGCCATAAAAGTTTTGTAAGACCTGTTTTTTATGCTGTTACAAACTGAAAAGGGCAACTCTCTGCTTTTACTTCTGGGAATCAGCAGTTTACTAACATGTATGATATTGTTTCAACCAAAAATTTAGACCTTAAGTTTGTCACCGTCTTCTCTCTTGTATTCCTGCTGCGGGTTTATTGATTCAACCTCTTAATTTTCATGTGGGATCATTAAAAAAGCGGAATGATCAGAGAAGCGCGATTATCAGAATTTTCAACGTCCTTTCAAAAAGGCGGGCTTTGATTTCCAATATGTTCTTTTATGTTTTGGCGCTGATGTTTGACGAAAGTTGATTGGGAAAACGACGTTGATTAGCTAAAACATTATTCCACTTGCTGTCATCAAATAACAACGACAAGACTACGCGGAATGTTCGAAAATCAGTCAAATCTCCAAACACATTTGCAATCCATGGATTTCTTTCTTTAACCAAACCCGTTTGCGGGATTGTAGGAGAGGCGGGATTAACTTTCGAAAGTATAGAAAAGGTGGGATTATTAGAGAGGCGGGAAAAGTAGAGAGCGCGGGAATACAAGAGAAGAACACGGGGTATAAGGGAACTCAAGAGACTAAGAGTGATTTTCACTTTTGAGAAGTTACAGGATACATTTCATTGTCTTTATGAAAGCCCCTCAGGTTGTCTTAATGCATAACAAAAATGGTTGTTATGCCATTGAGTATCATTATGACAAAGTTTGCAAGATGCTGTATGATCATACCTTCAAATTAAAATGCTTGGTTTCGTCACGGTAAGACTCCAGTTTTAAGTAGACAGATCCAAGTGGACCTAGGCCGAGGCCCGGAATTGGAATCTCCTGGTCTGAATCGAAAGTATGCGAATAGTACACTCCAAGAGAAGGAACGCTGATGCTGACAGTGACAGCTATTTCATCTTGACAAATATTCATCTCAAATTTTAGAACAATCTCGTGACCCTCAACTATTTTATTGCATCTCAGTGAATCGCAATAATCATCTTCGAAAGTACAGCCCCGGATGTATGGGCAACCTGTGTGAAAGTAGTCAGGAAAACAGATAAAAAGCTATTGGCATAAAAAGACTACTGTTCACAATAAGCAAAAAAATATTTTGAAGTGATTTTAAGTAGATCAGTGAATAATTCTTGGGGAAACAGAATGGGTGATATACTTAACACTGCAAGGTCTAACATGATTTTTTTTCTAAAATTGAAACCCTTTACTAGTAAATCAGAAAACAGGTAAAAATCACCCATGTTTCATCTCAAAAGCAGAATTTTATCTGACCATACCGTAGAAATTGCAGGATACGACACAATAAGAAACTGCTAGTAAACTTAAGGGCTTCACTAACTTATTACTATCTTGCAGAAAGGAATTCAACTGTAAGACATCAAAATTGATTGCTCTTTGCGCATATTTTGACAAAAATTATAAGAAGAACGCATTGGAAAATAATTCAGAGCGAGGCAAAAGCAAAGTCCTGTGTTTGGATGGTTGGATGTAAAGAATTTTTAAGACGAGATTTGATTGCTCTTTTGTATTGAAAAATTTGCGTAGGTAGGGTGTAGCTGAAGGCAAATTTTTGCCTTACTTGAATCAAACAGTTTTATGCGAAACAAGGCAAAACGAAACAAAACGAAACAAAACGAAACAAAACGAAACAAAACGAAACAAAACGAAACAAAACGAAACAAAACGAAGCAAAACAAAACGAAACAAAACGAAACAAAACGAAACAAAACAAAACAAAACGAAACAAAACGAAACAAAACATGGGCGGCACAAGAGGGGCTTCAGCCATCAACTTTTTAGCAAAAAGTGTTTTTAAGAAAATAAAAGGAATAAAAGAAAAGGAATAGAAGAAAAAAATAGTGCGATAAATCCTTTTATTGCTTCCAAGGAATAAACCGAGATCAATGGGGCCTTGTGAAATAATGAATTCCATTTTGAGACTGGAAGCAATTAAACCTACTAAAAGCATGCCTTAAAAATAGTAAAATGTTTTACACGATAACAAGAATTGACTGTAAGAAATATTCTGAAATATATTTTGAGCTTATCTAAACAGCGTGGTCGCAAAAATTTTCTGCTCGCTCCGACAGCCTCTCGGCGACCCTTCCAATGTACCGCTAGCATAACGATTGCCTTATTAAATCAAAGGCATAAAATATCGTGAAGCATTTTAGTGCGTTTTTCAAAAGTTGGTTTTCTGTTCTAATAAAGCTATCAACTCGAGGGCTCCCTCCCCCTACTTTGAATTTCGTGGCGCCGCCCCTGCAAAACGAAACAAGACGGAGCAAAACGGAACAAAACGGAAGAAAACGGAACAAAACGGAACAAAACGGAACAAAACGGAACAAAACGGAACAAAACGGAACAACAAAACGGAACAACAAAACGGAACAATACGGAACAAAACGGAACAAAACGGAACAATACGCAACAATACGGAACAAAACGGAACAAAACGGAACAAAACGGAACAAGTGTCTGTTTAAATGAACATACAAGGTGTTCATTAAAACAGACACTTTCATAGAAAATTCAGTTCCTTCAAAGGAAACCCTTAGCCATTCACTCTTTGAATCTGTCAGGATGGAATTTAAAAGTTTTGATATCTGACAAAACGAATGGAACGGATTGAGTAACTCAAAAATATTAGCAGGATCGAAATAAAGTATGAGTTTAATGTCGGTTGGCATTGATTTTGGAGGTCTTTCAGGAAAAACTTGCCTTTCTGCGAGGAAATTTTAAAATTATTCGATTTATATGACAAAATAACAAATAAATAAAAGATCGGATTCACCAACGATCATGCGTATTGGCATTTGTCAGTGAAAGGCTTTTGAACTGCAACCAACATACACAAGGCATTTTCAAGAAATTCAAAAAAAAAATTCTGGAAAAGAAAGATGTTCCGGGTGACTCGTTTGATGATGCATGGAATTTCTCAGGAATTTATAGTGGTTCACAAGCTGAAACCCCAAAGACCATATGCTTTGCAAATTTTTTAAACCTCGTTATGAAAAGGATCACAGTCAATCAAACACTAAGAAATCTAGAAAATAGAATTATATAAAGACCTGAGAAATCTTTCTTCACAAAAGAAATCATCTCATCCTTATCGAACATGTAATTTTCAATTTCTCCACTCGGTTTTCGATTTCATTAAGACCTTTAGATTTTTGTTCTTTATTAAAGATCTTTAAAGATCTTTCTATATTCTACTACAACACTTTGGCATAAAAGATAACACTGCTTAAAAATGTGCATTTCCCAACGACCTGGGAGCATCAAAATTTGAAGCGTTTCCGCCCTCCAGCGGCAACAATAGAACTTCAGGTAGTCACTTCATGGTGCGATTGTCCTTATGTGTAGCTCAGAAGGTCTGATATAGGTGTCATATATATGGAGAGAGCTGCAGATTCAGCTGTTTCTCCCGGAAACACCCCTCTGGAGATAAATGAAAATGTAGATAAGAAGTCTCAAAAGATTGGGGAAACCCATTGGTGGTAAAAATATGTTGTTTCTGGTACTTTTTACTAGTACTTTCTGGTACTTTCTGGTAGAATTTGAACCAGAAGCAGCTACGATACGTTAGTTCTAAGGAAAAATTGAGAAAATTTTAATCAATTCTCCTGTGTGTATTTATCTGCTTTAGTATACTTCCAGCAGCTCACATTAATCTTTAAGTATAAATAGACATGCCTGCTTGCAATATAGGAGCAAACCTCGGTGACTGCCTTTAGCAATGCAAGGGAACATTTTGAAAGCGTTCAAATAAAATCAAAAGAATTTACAGAAGATCAGACCGTCAGAGGACACGGGGCATAGACAGAGGTGTAACCTATAACCTTAAGAAAGAAAACAAAGCTCTTCACGATAAGAACTTAGGGAAGTTTGAAAGGGCCATAGCATGAAATGATATGCAATAGAAAAACACAAAGTAGCTTTGGGTGTAGCAATAAGTGAAAGTGAAAAAAGAGAGACCTTTCATGATCCTGCCTTGTTCGAGCCAAGGAACCTATAAGGCGAAATCTAAAAGAAAGCCCATTGCTTCTTTGCAAGATCACAAAAATAGCACATTTTTAACAAGAGAAGACCAGCCATAATTCAGCAGCGCCTACGACAGCATTTGAGGGTAAAGATACAGGATATCATTCTACAATTTCTTGAGGAAATGTGGATGCTAATACTGATGATGACGACGATGTTTATAATGATGGCCAGCATGATTGTGATTATGCTACGGTAGCAAAACGATTATGCAGCTAGAAATGGCAACCATGAAATCGGCAATGAGCAAGTTGAAGAAACGCAGGCACAAATAAGAGGACGATGTAAATGAACATAATGTAAAAAAGATTTGCCGTGATGAAAATGGGTCGGTATGAAATGCTTTGCTCAAGATATTTAAGTCCGAGTTTCTTGTACGTTTATGGCTCTGCATGCGCTTGAAGAGCGACTTTTGACCAGCAAGCTTGTAGACGTTGGTTTGTTTGTGCTTTGAGCTGACATGGGCCTTCCCATCAATAAGACTTGTCCTCTTAGAGGTAGATGGCAGGGGGTCTAGCTTTTCCATTAGGCCATCTAACATCTTCTTTAATTTCTTGACATTCAATTTCTTTCTCTCGTAAAATGAAGTGTCTTTTACATTCAATCGATTTTTTCCAGTCGTTCTCTATTCATTCCCTTACCTCTTTTTTGTCTTTTGATCACTTTCTGAAACGGTTCCAACCAAAGACCGAGATACAACTTTTTGTTTGGGGGGGGGGGGCAGCCCTGATAAACAAGTGTAAAAAAACCATATCTTACAAAATAAAAGTGTTTTACTTTAACTTTTACTCAAGTGTTTTTTGGGGGGGGGGCAAGGCCCCCGACTCCCCCCCTGGTATCTCGGTCCTTGGTTCAAACTTTGCCAGAGATGAAATAAGTTAAAATTCTGTGAAACATGACTAAAAAACCTTTGTTTTTGACAGGAACAACACTGTGGATTTCTATCTTTCTTTCTTCTCCAAGATGAAATGTCCTTCTTTTAAAGTCGAAAATTTGCCAAACCCTCCCATAGTAGCTTTACCCAATCCATACCAACTTTCTTGAGCATCGTCATGATGATTGGAGCTTTTTCATGTCAATAGAATTGACGACTACGTCATAATGACATTAGCAATTTTTTATGACGTTTTCAATGACAAACCTTGTCCTTGGCGTATCGTAAGTTTTGCACCAAGATATTCGACAACAAGTACAACGTATAAGAAAATATGACCAGTTTTTTGAAGAAAAAAGGTTTTTGTAAATATTAATTGAGAATAGCCTAATATAGTCAAATCCTAAAAACATACTAATTGCACCAGAACCAAGATAGCGGGGAAGGGGGGCTTTGCAGTTTGGATGTCAAGACTTTATCAGCCCCCCCCCAAAAAATAGTCGTATCTCGTTCTTTGAATTGCACAAGGACAACAAGTTTGGCTATCATTGACAATTTTTCTAAAATAGATTTGAGATAATTTTAAACAAATGTAGATATGGTTTGTTACCCCCGCTGAAAGTTGAGAAAGTTTCATAGAAAAATTTTTTTGGGACTAAAAATAGGACATTTAATGCCTAGAAGTATTCTTTGTATAATTTGTTTATACATGTATATTTATATATATTTTGGGAATAAAGGGTTTGTAAAAAGAAACGAACTTTTAGTACGATTAGAAGATTGAGAAACTACTTTCGCAGCTCAAAGACTGTGGACTAATTCGGGACAAATGTAAAGCTCCATGTCTGGGGACTAATTAGGTGATTGCATGTTGTCAATAAACAAAAGCACAAAGTTGATAGAATTAATCTTAGTAAAAGGTGACTAAAAGTTGGATTTTGCAAATTCGCCTTGGAAAAATCTAATAACATTTCACAGGAACATTCTGGATCCTTTTCCTGACCACCAAATCTGAGAAATTTGTCCTAGTCTGAAAAAATCTATCCAACTATGCTGTATAAGCTAAATCATATAACAACGACAACAGAAAATTTATTCATAAAGCTTTCAGCTTGTAGAAATACCTAATTTTAAGGTGTTGACAAGATCTAAGGGTAAATTATTTTAAACAAATGCAGGAAAACGACTGTAAGAAATAATTCTTGAAGCATTATAAGCCAAAATTTTCTGCTCGCTATGTTCGCTTGAGGCCAAGTTTTAGAGTTTACACGCAGGTCCTCAAAAATCTCTTGTCTGCTTTGAACATTAGCCAGGATTAAAGAATCTAACAGACAATAAAGAATAACATCAAAACGGCTTGCGAATTATATTCTGCCAAACAATATTTATTTTGAAATGTATTTCCCATTGAAGAAGACAATTAAACTGTTAGAAAAATGAAAGGATAAATAATGGATAAAAACGGATAATCTTAAATTTTAACTATTTGTTCATCATTTATTGATTAATTTGAAGAAGACGAAATATGCTGACACTTTAAATGACTTGCTTTTCTTGTGTCTCTTTGAAAAAAATGGCTTTTTCACATTCATAGTGAAAATGAAGGGCGTGGTCAGCAAACTTTTCTTAAAGGGTCCCGCCTAGAAACATATTTTTATCAAAATATGCAGCGATACATTTTCCTTAAAATTTGGCTTCCTTGTGTATATCCATTTGTAATCCTTCCTTGTGGATATCCATTTGGCTTTCTTGTGGATATCCATGGTTTCATTTGTAAAAAATTGCTTCAATGTGTGCATTTACCAGCGAAATAGAAGCATCAAAATCCAAACTTTTCCTTTTCAAAGGACGTTGTTGGTAGTCTCATTTTTAAGCACAGGCTTTCACGAATCTTCACCAAATTTTCATCAGAAAGAATAAATGAAATTAAATTGTTAGCAAAATTTTTGTAACAGCGACCCGTCAGACCCGTCCATTGTTTAACAGTATTCTCTGAAATTAACGGACACTCTAAAGGCGGACACTTCGATTAGTGGACAAAATTTTTCCCCGATCGTTTTCTGGTCAAAGTCTCATAAAAAACTTTCTAAAAAGCGGACACTTAATTAGCAGACACTCAAATTAACAGACAAATATTTTTTGCATAAAATAGTCAATTTGGCTTTTGTTCTTTCCAATTAGCGAACAATACAAAAAAGTTTGGAGCCAGCAAACAAAAAACTGAGACGAATGAATATTTGTTCAAATATTTATTTCAAACACTTTGACACTTGACAATCTAGTTGGCTTTTTACAGCTTCGAGCTTCTTTACAGCCCAATTTACTAACTTTTCTTGTCAATAAAAGTGGTAAATTACTGGAATCTCCAGACCATGTTACGTTCAATTTAGTTTTTTTCTTTTTCTAGTGTCTAAGTTCAACCCGATAGCCACTTACTACCCAATACACCTTTTAAATACAAAACTCATGTCAATTTTTCAAATTTGGGACTTACATTGCAAAACTTTCTTAAAGGCGGACACTTCCAATTAGCGGACACCTTGCTCTTGCCCCGACCCGACGGTGTCCGCTAATTGGAGAGAATGCTGTATCCAATTTTTAAAATGATTGAGATTTAGCGTGCAAGAAAGCCTGTGTTGGCGTTGTTAGCGTATTCCATACGCAACCGTATTCAAAAGTATCCGTATCTATTTGCGTTTTCAAATGACTCCCTTTTCATAAAGGAGCAATGTGAAGCAAGGCAAACATTGCTAGTTTTGAGTTTGACTCCGTTTTCATATGGAAACGGATCTGTGTTAACGGCCTAAGTCGGTCGGGATATGAGGAATAGAGAAGCGAAGTGCAAGATCATCAAAAGTGCTATTTTGCAACATGATTTGTCTCCATGCAAGCGTAACGACAGCAAATAAATCTTGCACTTAGCGGCAGAAAAACTTTGCGCTCTGGCCATTTTAGTTACAGTTTATTGTAAATCATACCTTCGACACTGGACAACATTCCAATGAAAAGAAAGAATATTGCCAAAGATCCTTTGATGGTTGCCATATTGTCGATAAAAGGTTAGGAATTTCAACTTAATCCAAACTTTGATAAACGCGGCGAGGTGTGCTAGCTAGAAGTCTGTCAAACTTTTGGCATAGAGACTATGGGCGCACACACACGGACAAAAAACGGGGGACGCCTCATTGACGAAAAAATCCTCCTCAAGAGATCAAGGCAACCGTTAGTCTAATTAAATACCAATATATGACCAATTTATTTGCGGTACAGAATTTGAAAATGGCTTTAAAAAAAGCAAACATTTTACAACATACTAAAAGCTTTTTCGTCTGACACTCCTCAGAGCAAAACACGTCAGAATAAGGGTGCGAAAAAACACGATGAAAAATAGGACAACGGCTATCCAGAAGACGTCATTTTATCTTACAGTATACTAAGGGGAAGATCGCAAGTTTCTTGGCTGTTCAAAAGTTTGGTCCGCCAAAGTGCCCAGTTTATTTGAAACTACCATGGATTGGTAACACTTCCTTGTGATTCGAGAGTCAATTTAGGCTAGCCATAACTAAATGTTTCTTTGCTATCAATCCTCGGATTGTTTACAGCACTAGGAGAGCCCTTCCATCCATTCAAAAGGATTGCGTTCCTACCAACCAAAAAGTTCCGTCATTTATGAATTTACGTGCCAGTGTGATTCTGGCTACGTAGGACGCACAACCCAAAGATTGGGTGATATGATAAAACAGCATGTTCCTTCCAACATAAGAAACAAAACTGCTCCTCAAAGAGAACAGCCTTCTCGATCTTGTAGGTCTAGAAACACTGTAAAGTGATTCTTCCATCGGTCAACATCTTTTAGACAACCCAGATTGTGCAAAACTCTATAATGACGACATTTTTCGGATAATTGGCAGAGCCCGGTCGTCCTTCCATCTAGCAGTCTTGGAATCGATCTACATACAAACGAAAAAGCCGCCATTGTGTAGACAGAAGGAGTTTATTTTCTCTCTTGGACTTAAGTGGTAATTTTTATATAGGCACGCAGCACTGATTGGTCAACTATACCGGTCTTGTTCTTGCGCTTTTCTGATTGTGTTTCCTATTTCGATTCACAACTGGGTATATATTTTTCATCGTGTTCTTTCGGACCCTTATTCTGACGTTTTATGCTCTGAGGAGTGTCAGACGAAAAAGCTTCTAGTATGTGGTAAAATTTTTCAAAGCCATTTTAAATACTAAAACCTACATAAACAAGCGAATTTGCCAACAAATGAGAAAATTTACCGACAAGTGTTAAAAAAGTTTGTTAAGCGACAATTAAGCTATTACCCCTTATGCATTTGCTTTTTAATTACACTCATCTTTTTTAAAAGAAACAAAGGTCGATGTTGAGTACTCCAGTTTCTTAATGTTCTGGAAATTTCAATACTCACTGTTTCTTAAGAGTTTGTTAATTATGATGTCATGAATGATGTTATGAAATGTTTGTGACATTTTTTTTACGTCAAGAGATTCGCTTCCGTTCTGACGCTGTATTTAGACGTAGGAAGTATATTTTGATCCCTTGTGTCTTAATTTCTAGGCCATTATAGGGCAATCATGTTTTTGGATTTTGCAAAATTTCGTTGTTCTCAGTTTTATCACGATTTAATAGTTTCCTAATTTTTTTCTTCGAGTACTGAAGTTTGTTAATTTTTTCTGGCTGTTTAGTACTCGTTTCTTATAAGCAAGTTTCTTATAAAAATGAGTGTACTGTGTTTTCCCGTCGACGTTGCATTCGGTGTTACATCCCTCATGTCCCCCGTAGCAACGGTCCTGTATTCAAGAAATTATCAATATTCTAGAGGTTTCTGTAAACATGTTGAGATCTTCATTTACTTCATACCAAATGGTTATTGCATTTTATATTTTTTATTATTCTATGATTCAGCCTCCCCCGTTCCTCACCCCCGTTATATAGGAAAGAATTTCCAGTTATTCACACAATAGAAATAATCTGCGGCTGGCTCGATTATCAAATCACTTCTCTGAAATGAATCACAGGTTGCCCAAACAACTGTTAAAAAAAGTCCACCAGTGATAATAGGGAACCAGAGGCGGCTTTTCCTACAGTTCTCGCGTAGTCAAGTTCCCAGGTTTATGCATATACATTTACAAATATGACATTTCTCGGAAAATTGAATCTCTTATTTATTATTAAACAGTCAAATACCAAAGCAAGAAGCATAGGGAAGCGCACACTATGTTCGGAACATCTTTGTTTTTTTTCTTTTTGATGAAATAAATTATATAAACAAAATAATAAGGGTTACATACTAATTCCAATTGCAAATTCAGAGGCAAATTCAATAAGAAAAATCGATGGGAAAAATCTGTAAGAAACAGAGATATAGGATAATCGATGGGAAAAATCTGTAAGAAACAGAGATAGGATAATTTAACGCGAGATAGGATAATAGGTAAGAACGTAGAGGCGATCGATGGGAAAAATCAGTAAGAAACAGAGATAGGATAATTAAACGCCAGATAGGATAATAGGTAAGAACGTAGAGGCGATCGATGGGAAAAATCTGTAAGAAACAGAGATAGGATAATTAAACGCGAGATAGGATAATTAAACGCGAGATAGGATAATAAGTAAGAACGTAGAGGCGATCGATCATGTTTACCAAAAGCAGGTTGAGGCCAGGCTAAGAACAACAACATGAGTTTGCAACAGAAACGCAATAAATTTATTTTGAGTGTTAACCCCCCTACCCTTTTGATAAATAACGTAGTAACCATACAATCTTATATTATAAACATTTTGCCTAAAACAGTTTCTAAAAAAAGAAATATTACCAAACGCTCGATAGTGGCTAATTATCTAGATCTTACCTTTTTCCAGGAAATGGGCCTGCTAGGTGCACCAGCCCCAGTACTGCCTAGAAAATACCGATTTTTAAGGTCATTAACACCACTTGAAACATTTTCCCGACTGATGCATCTGCCCATAAGACGAAAAGGTCTTCGGAAAAGAATGATCTCCAGATTTGAAAAATAAACAAGCAGAAAAATAGCCGGGCGGGAGAGGACTTGTAAGATTGGACATTGCTGCAGCAGAAATTTCCATTTGCCGCATGCATAATAGGCCGAAGTGACCCTTGATTTACTACAAAAAAACTAAACGTTATAAACTAAAATGGTTAATTAAAATTGCTATATCTAAAATATCACTGCAAATGGCTACAAAAATTATAACAACTTAAATATACAACAGCAAACTGATAAGCTAAATGTTTTCAAAAAGTCTGGCAAATTTCACGCTTTTGGAATGCTCGCCTCACTGTTCTCGCAAGAATTTGAATCAAATCATTATCTTTTTGACTCATCATCCAAATAAATTTGCTTTCATGAATGAGATTTTGCTTTTTAAACAGGGATGCCCAGAAAACCTACAAATGTCCCAGATATCCTAGGTTAGCCTGCACGTATCAGAAAGCGAAAGAGAGGTTATAGGATAGCAACAAGGTGGGAGAGAGTTAACTCTGTTTAAAACTAGAACTCCAAACAACATTTAGAAGTCAACTTTGGTTGTTTAAGTTTATAGGAAGGGTGGAAGTCTTTGCCAAAACGCGTCATGCACTGAAAGCTATTAGGCTGCAATCAAGTTCTTGGTTTCCAGATGTAAATGATGTATAGATTTACCATTGTTATTATTGGAGAGCTTTTGATCAGACGACTCTATAATAGGTTTGCTGGATTTTTAACCACTAGAGATGCAAACTTTTATTCAATTCCCTTCTTGATGCATAAAGCAACCCACACAGTGAAGAATTTAACATGCATACCAACCTTGAACAATTCGTTTTTGTCAACGTTGATTGTTAAACTTATAGACTTGTCTCAATATGCTAAATTAAACATAAAGCATTGTAGATATTTATAAGGAAGACTGAATTTCATGACAAAAGATTGCATGCATCTGTTTTGGTGAAGAAGTTATCAATGATAGTTACTTTCTTTTTTGGTTGTTTTTGGTATTTAATTTTGTGTCGAAGAATTTATCAAAATAGAAAATTCTTGATGAAAATTTAGTTAGAACAATTAGCCTTTTTTCATTTTTGAGGATAAAACTTGATCACTGAAACCGAAACCCTCCTCTGAAGGACTGGAAAATAGATATTTTTGCAATATTTCGGGGGAAAATGAAGTGCCTTCAAAATTACATCACACCTTTGTAATATGTTCTTTAACTTGGCCAAGAAATTTCTAGGTAAACAAAGGAAACAAGACACTGTACAGCTGTCAACCTAATTTTTTTTCTGGAAAATCACAGTAAAATATTAACTTCTATCAACAAATCTGTTTATATGGGTAGCTTCAAGTATTAATCGCGTAGTAGAGTGGGGAGAGAGGAATCTACTGGAAAATGGCACTATAAGTAAAGGGAAAAAAACAATTATGAACTACTTGGATTCTTACCGTTAAAAAGAGCTATTGTACTTTTTATCTTATTTCCCACTAATTTTGCTTTACCCAGACCATAATTCCAAGCTCCAGGGACCACTCTTACTAGAAAAAAAAGCTTAGATTAAGCAATGATTTCCTTGAAGTTGATTAGAACACTGCTGAAAAAAATCTTCGAGAAAACAATCAAACTAAAAACAATCTTCTAGAAAATGATCTTCTAGAAAACAATCTTCTAACTAAGAAGATGTATGACAAGACATTCGTTGTACTTCGTGTTACTCCCCTTTCTCTAAAGCATTTTATTTTTCATATTCTTGAAACAAAGGGCGTACTGCTAGCAAACTTGAGAAGAAAATTTCTAGGAATTATTGGATACTTCTAGGAATGGTATGATTTTTCTAAGAACTTTTAAGACAAGTTAACTTCGTTTTGAAACTGAAAGAAGGAAATTATCTTCAAGTTAAAAAGGAAAACACTGTGCCATTAAGGATATATTTAAAGAAACCCTAAAATTCGTATGATAAAAAGCACATGGTATTAACGACTTGATGTTGCTGATGAGAAATAGTAGTGAAGGGATCTGGTATGGCTGTCAGACTTTATCGACCAATGTTCATGACTCTCCGTATAAAAGTAAAACACAAGACTCAGTTCTTTTTAAGCATAACAGCAGTTACTTGAAATAAATACTTCCTATTAAAT